ATGTTTTCTATTCAAACAATACCGAAATAGTATTTAATTTTACCAATGAAATATGGTGCTTTATTACATGTAGTCAAATTTGTAAAAAAAAAGTATGAAATATAAACATGAAAGTGGCCGGAGTCAAAACTCATGTTTATTTTAAGGGACTTCTTTCGCCGTTTTGTTTATTATAAAAAATCTGATAAATAAAAACAAATTTTGTTCTACAAAATATCTAGAATGATAGAAAATGGTATTAATAACTAAGAAAATGAATCGAACACCAATATCTTTAATTCAGTCATTAACGCTGTGCAGACGTTTAAATAGTTGTTTACGTGACGTCACAATGTAGCAACCAAACACCGCGCGTGTTAACATTTAATATATTACTGCGCGCTGTACAACAGCAGGTGCGTAGCAAGCAAGGGGATTTTTAACCATTTTTCTTTGATAATGAAATTAAATAAAAATGTTATTTTCTTCGTTGTTCGTTAAATATGGTATTTATTTTCGATCAAATAAAAAAATATTCTCTTATTATTTAATTTAACCCATGAAATATGGTGCTATATCAGTCATATATATTTCATATTTTTAAAAAAAAAATATGAAATACAAATATGAAAGTGGGCGGAATCAAAACTCCTATTTATTTTAAGGGACTTCTTTCGCCATTGTTATTTATTTATCAGATTTTTTAACAAAATGGCAGCAGAAGTACCTTAAAATAAATACATTGCATGTAAGATTGAAATTTATTACACACCCGTGCCGATTTTGCGACTCCATAAATATGGTATTGCACGACTGTGCATATATTTTGACGTGACGTCATTAGCGTTATACAAACATAGTGTAAAGACGCGTTAAATGTAAGTGTTATACTATAGATGCGTCAGTGAAAAAATGACTCTTATTTCACTTTAAACGGTCTTGATTTTGGGTATTTGATCAATAGAATATTAAATTCGTGTATGTTCATTACTGATTGTATTGCACTCGTTGAATAAAATATTAATACACTTGTTACTATATGTAGTAACAAAATTGCCTATGATTTCAACTGATTATGAGTGTCACGTGACCTATTATGAGTTTGCGGCCCGGGGCCGAGAACTAGTTATCAGCCCGCAGAACATGTGCACGTGCACAAACTGAAACAATGACGTCATATTTTACGTCATCAAACAGTTAACTGTAAAAGTGAAAGTAGGTTGTCAGCACAAATTGCTTTATTTTCATAATGAGAGCTTAAGCGTATTTACTACAAACACATTTTTGTTACTATTGCAATTTGGAGACAAATTCATTCCGAAAAAAATGAAATTCAAACTTGCTTCTAGATTCTACTGCTTTGAACACACAAACAGTAAACATCTCTGTACAGAACAGTAGAAGATTAGACAAGAATTTCAATGAAAGAACTTTGTTGTTGTATTTCTTTTTTTAGCTCACATGTCACAAAGTGACAGGGTGAGCTTTTGTGATCGCTTTTCGTCCGTCGTCCGTCCGTCCGTAAACTTTTACTTTAAATGACATCTCCTCATAAACAACTAAGCCAATTTCATCCAAACTTCACAGGAATGTTCCTTTGGTGGTCACCTTTAAAAATTATTCAAAGAATTTAATTCCATGCAGAACTCTGGTTGCCATGGCAACCTAAAGAAAAAACTTTAAATATTTTCTTTTAAAAAACCCAAAGAGCTAGAGCTTAGATATTTGGCATGAAACATCTTCTAGTAAGTGTCTACCAAGTTTGTTCAAATAAAATCCCTGGGTTCAAAATTTGCCCCGCCCCTAGGGGGTCATTGATTTTCCTTATACATGTATGCATATAGTAAAAATTGAAAAAATCTTCTTTTAAAGAACCAAATGAGCTAGAGCTAAGATATTTAGCATGAAACATCTTCTAATGAGTGTCTAACAAGTTTGTTCAAATAAAAGCCCTGGGGTCAAAATTGGCCCCGCCCCAGGGGGTCATTGATTTTCCCTATATGCATATAGTAAAAACTTAAAAATCTTCTTTGAAAGAACTCAAAAAGCTAGAGCAAAGATATTTAGCATGAAACATGTTCTAATGGGTGTCTACCAAGTTTGTTCAAATAAAAGCCCTGGGGTCAAAATTGGCTCCGGTGTCATTGATTTTCCTTATATATGTGTATATCCAAGCAAAAACTTAAATATCTTCTTTGAAAAACCCCAAATAGCTAGAGTTTAGATATTAAGCACGAAACATGTTCTAGAAAGTTTCTACAAAGTTTGTTCGAATAAAAGTCTTGGGGTCAAAACTGGCCCCGTCCCAGGGGTGTCATTGTTTTAACTATATGTGTATGGTAAAAACTTAAAAAATCTTCTTTTAAAAAACCCAATGAGCTACAGCTTAGATGTTTAGCATGAAACATCTTCTTATGGATGTCTACCAAGTTTGTTCAAATAAAAGCCCTTGTGTTGAAATTGGCCCTGTGGGGGGTGGGGGAGGGGGCAGATCATTGTTTTTCATTATATGTGTGTAGTAAAAACTTAACATCATGAAACATTTTCTGATGGTGTCTTTCAAGTTTGTTCAAATAAAAGCCCTGGGGTTTAAACTGGCCCCACTTTGGGGGCCTATATACAGGTGAGCGACCTCAGGGCCATCATGGCCCTCTTGTTTTAAATTCTACTATTAGATCTACCAAGTGTATTAAAGACATTAATACACGTCAGAGTAGGGCCGGGAGGTGATAATCGGCCCTGAATTAATAATGGCCCTCGGGCTAAAGCCCTTGGGTCCATTATTCATTTTGCGGGCCGATTATCACCTTCCGGCCCTCTCCTACCGTGTATTCACCTCTTAATATTATGCTAGCCAGAGGCTCGCATAATTTAATTTTATTCAACTCGTGCAATAAATTCAGTATTGAACTTACACTCATCAATATCCTCTATTTTTTCACTGAGTGAAAATAAAAAAGCTGGTGTTAACAAATAAAATATATTTCAATATTATATGTAAAAAATAAATGTTCTTTTTATTTTATGCTTTTTAATTGTTTTAAGTATTTTTACTGATTTTGCCGCGTAACGTCGCGCATTCTCCTTTAAGTCGTTATCAATTATGACGTCACACCATCAACTTTAAAATATATTTGTGAACACCAAAAGTTCATATTTCACTCGTGGCTGCGCCACTCTTGAAATATACCTTTTGGTGCTCACTCGGTGAAATATATCCAGATTTTGCACTGAACTAAACAAATATCCTCTATATTATGCGAGCCTCTGGTGACACAAGTTATTTCATCAATATTAAGAGGATATTTTTTCGTTTGAGTGAAATATGGAATATATTTTCACGAAAATGATAAAATGCCACATATTTTCACGAGCCGGGAAACCTTTTTATTTAATTTCATTATCAAAGTTAAAAATGGTTACGCACCCCCTTGCTTGCTACACAACTGCAATTGTACAGCGCGCAGTAATATAATTATTGTCTTGTTTTGCATGCGATATTTAGCGCTAAATTGTGACGTCACGTAAACAACTCTAAAAACGTCTGTACAGTGTTAATGACTGAATAAAAGATATTGGTGTTTGGATTAATTTTCTCAGTTAAACCATTTTTCTATCATTCTAGATAGTTTTCAAAACGAAATTCAACAAAAAGTTGTTTTGTATTTATCAGATTTTTCGAACAAAATGGCGAAAGAAGTCCCTTAAAACTCCGCCCAATTTCATATTTATATTTCATATTTATTTTTAAAAAATATGAAATATATTTGACTGATATAGCACCATATTTCATGGGTAAAATTAAATAATTCTCAAGTATATAATAAAATTATATATTTTTATAAATAAATGACGGCATTTATTTTTGCCTGATATATTTTTATAAACCACCGAAAAGCATGTGATAAATTTCTTTATCACATAAACCGTGGCGCAGGAGTGTAATTAAGCCATTTATCACATAAACCGCGGCGCCAAAAAAAGTGTAATAAAGCCATTTAATAAAAACGATATTACACTTGAGAAATAATATATCCCAAACAGTGATTTTATCGCTCAATAACATCACTGTTTGGAGTTCGGATACGAGGAAGTATATCACGAGGGCGTAGCCCGAGTGATATAATGATGCGCATCCGAACGACACCGATAAAATCACCGATTTGGATATATTATTTCGATTCTAACACGACATTAACAATAAATCTTGTCGTACCTTATAATAAGCTAAATTGCACCAGATTTGTTTCCGTACTTATTGTCAGCGCGTCGCATTTTTAATAGTTACGTCACATGTATATAATGATTACGTCACAAGTCTAAATATAGAACGTCAACAGTGATTTTGTTGCATAATAATACACAATTTCGGTTCTTCTATGTTCAATAGGGAAAAATGCGGGTCGTGTTAGAATAGACGATATTACACTAGTGTAACAACACTTTGACGTCACGTCATATGCACTATAAACATAGCGTTAAAGCGCGCTAATGTTAGCGTTACACTATAGGCGCGTCAAAGAAAAATGACTCTTGTTAACAGTTTACTGTTCTCATTTTATATATGTGATAAATAGAATATTATATTCGTGTTGATTCAATACTATATTTATTGAACTCGTTGAATAAAACAATATTAGGCTTGCATAATATGATTTTGTTCAACTCTTTCAATAAATTTAGTATTAAACCTACACTCATTCAATATCCTCTATTTAATAAAAACGATATTACACTTAGTGTAATAACACTTTGACGTGACGTCATTTGTGTTATATAGAAAAATAGCGTTATTAAAGGCGCGCTAATGTTAGCGTTGCACTATAGGCGAGTGATTAAAAAATTACTCATTTTAACAATTTACTGATCTTATTTTATATATGTGATAAATAGAATATTATATTCGTGTAGATTCAATACTAAATTTATTGAACTCGTTGAATAAAATAATATTTTGCTCGCCAGAGGCTCGCATAATATGATTTTATTCAACTCGTTCAATACATTTAGTATTAAACTACACTAATTCAATATCCTCTATTTTTTTTAGATTGTGACTATGGAGATAAAAAGTCAACTTGTGTAGGAATGTCATTACAACTGTGTCGAAATAACTTTGAAGTTTGCTGTAAAACATGCCAAGATATACGATTAGATATTCCAGGTAAAACAAATTTTACTTCATTCCTATTTTGCATTTACGTTTAACCTTTCTAAAACGTACTGTTTTAAGCTATGTTAAGATGTCTGTAATTAGTAGGATACTTGTCTTTATAAAAGTTATTGCAAAGTTCCTCAATTAACAATAGTGTTTGAAACTTTCTAAAAATGAGGATTACACAATATGTAAAAACAGTTTCAAACACTTGACACAACGTTTCATCACATTAGTGCTGAAACTGATTAACTCCAATTGATGTTAAAACAAAGTTAACCTCCCTGCTTGACTAAGGTGACGTGTTGTGACAGCATTCTTCGAATTGTAAACATCAAATTGAATAAGTGTAAGTTTAATACTGAATTTATTGAACGAGTTGTATAAAATTTTATTATATACTGGAGAATTTGAGAAATATTTGATGAATAAAAATGTAGTCTTTTCATTTCCCGTACCAAAGGAAAGGGTTTGCCGCAAACTTTCGCCGCAAATTGCAAACCTTTTTAAGTTGCCAAACAAAGTGTTTGCCAGATATCGGCCAAAGTGGCAACTCTGTGGCAAACATTTGGCGACTTTGCGGCGAAATTCACCAAAATATTAAGTAGTTCGCCAAAAAAGTTTTGCCACGAAACTTTCAGTGGAAACTAATTTGCCAAAGAGATTGCCAGAATCTTTTCTATCAAAAAAAATTATTCGCTGAAAGTTCACCAGAAAACTTTTCCATATATAAAAACAAGTTTGCCAATAATAATCGCCACAAACCATATTCAGTTTGAAAGTTAATCCAACTTTGTTCAGTAAAATAACTATTTTGCCAAGGAATTATATTATTATGCACATTATAAAAAAGTCCTTTCATGTACCTACCTATAACCACGGATTTAAATGTCAATTAAAGTCCCCCGTGCTATAACCCTACCTACCTACCCAACCCTTATTTTTATGGGTCGGGAAGTGGAAACAAACAAATTTTTATTTTTTGCCTAAGAGTTATCAAATTGAAAAAATTCGTATGTATCATGGAGCCAAGGGTATTGTAGTTCACAAAAACAGTTAAAAAAAATTATAAGGTAGAAGACCCATAATGAAATCGGCAAAATCTTCGACAATTTTACCGTCATATTCGCCATTTATCGTAACGAACTTCGTTTGTTTTACGTATAAAGTCGGAAATTTTCTAAATAATAAAAGCGAAATAAACCCGGTGTCACGTGGGTAGTATTCCCCAAGAAAATGACGTAATTTCCCGCAGATATCTAACAGTGGGGCGTCTACAGCGTGATACGCTCGGTCGATTCAAAAAAAGGTGTTAAAAAGATGCAGAAAAACTCAAAGATTCTCCGACTTTATTATAGAACATAAACTATAGTGCAGGTAAACCAGTATTAACGTGTCAACCAAACCAGCTCTACAAGACATCAACTCTTTCCTAAATCCCCGGTGATAGATTGAGGGTTTGGAAAAGAGGGAAGAAGAAATCGTTGAGTTTGGCCACGTGTTTACGGTCAAAAACCTAAGATTTTGTTAAAAATGTTAGACTTGGACCAGTTTGGGCTAACCAAATTAAACAGCACTGATTAACTTTGACAACAATGTTAGGTGAATTTTTTAAACAGGGAGTGTCTGGTTATTTGTATTGGTGAAAATGTCGAAACACATAATGCCCGGTCATGTGAATTGTGTTCCCTATGGAAAAACACCAGACTCTTAGTAGATTGAAGACCTGTGAAAGTTGGAATGGGCCATGGTTTCGCGTTGTCAACACAAAATTAGGAACAGGTAAGTGATTAATGTATTGCAATCATAGTTTACATTAAAGTAACTATAATACTGATAATGAATTCATAGATGTAATGTCTCGTAACCCCAAAATGAATATATCGATACCATTAATGATTTATCCAGTGTTTTATTTAGAAATCTACCCTTGTCTTCCAAATGATGTCAAAAACATGTAAAATTATTGGCGGACCAAAAATTTATGCTTTTCAGATTTTATAAATAATTAAATTTATTAATACAGAAATACATGTTATCTTGTTTGTGTTTTAGCTGTAAAAACACTAACTCCTTATTGTTTGAAAGAAGTGGCGCTAGCCGTACGGCTAGCCAAAAGTTCAGCCGTAACGTGACTTCACATACTCCATATAATTTTGAAAAGTGCCCGTACGGGCCACTGGGCCAATACAGTGTGTCCTGGCTAGTACTTTGGCTAGCCGTACGGGCCCGTACGGCTAGCCACTTCCCTATTGTGAAATGTTTTAAAACTTCGCCTCTGAATGTTTTAATTTCCCCAAAAGTCACCTGAGAAAATTGAAAAGCCAATGAATAAAACGTTGCCCCTAAATTAAATATTGCAACAATGCAATATTTTGTAAGAACCATTTACAGAATCCTACACATGTAATTACATTTCTATATAAAAGGAACAACAGTTGTTAACACTAGGCTGCCAACACACCAGTCACAGTAGTACTAATATTCAACGTAACATGAGGCAAGCTAAAAATACGCTCTATACTTAATTTATGCAATGTTGTTATAGTGCCATGGTTATGTTTAAATTACAAATCAGTTTGAAAGTTTGTTTTTTGGGACAAATGATTTGTATTACTTTTAAATAAAATAATTTGTTTCTTTCATTTTCTTACAGCAATGATTGATAGTGTAGGGTGGGCCCCGGTGAGGATAACATTTGTTGGTCAACACTAAAATATACAACAATTGGAATAAAAAATGAAAAGAAATGAAGAGACGTGGTTTTGGAAATATCATTTGAGACAGCACTGGCTTCTATGCCGAACAGAATTGCTGCATTAAACCAAGGGAAAGGAGTAAAGACACCATTTACATTTTACAATGATTATTTTCGAAATAACATGTACTTGAATTGGAAGAAAATTTCAAAAATTATTTTGTAATTATATGTCTATGCAGCTTATCATGGTATAAATCCTATATTGCTGGCACACTCTTGGTTTAGGGGAACCAAAGAATATTATACAATCCATATATGAGAAAAGAATTTTTAAACAATGGCTTTTGTGTTTTTGCATGTTACTCTATATTCATGTACATATTTGATATTTCTTTTTTCAAAATAACATGAATGTGTAATTGTTTTTTTAAAAAGTATTTATTTCTACATGACAAACTGGGTCCGCCCTGGGCTCCTTGCCATTGGTACTTGTTGCTTGGTCATATGGGGGGTTGCGTTCATTGAACGCCGCCTTTCCTTGTTGATCTTGTTTATCATATTTTACCTTCATTGGTTTAAGACTAAAATTCATATTAGATACGAGGGATGTCCGGAAAGTTCATATACATCTTCATTTTTTTATTGTAAAACAATGCATACGCTGTACAAATTTTGTCAGCATAAAAATACATATCTAGCGAACACATTTATCAAAAATTACTGAACTGTGACTAACGTTTGTATTTTAAAAGTATTACATACAACATATATACATAATCATGGAGCACTTTGACAACGTCAACGGCGTCAAAATTAAATTCATGTTTACCAACTATTTAATTTCTTCCGATTTCAAAAGCCATCATGGTACCTGTCTGACGTATACTTAATACATGTTATTGCTTCATACATTTCATATTTTAAAATTATTATTTAAAAAATAAACATTTCACTGGTTCCCCATACTGTGTGTAAGATGTCTGCCTTTTTCAAAAAATTTTGTAACGCAATCTACGATATTTCAGCCATGCTACTTTTGGTCACTTTCTGGAGCGTTTCTTTATACAATATCACCGCTTCTTTATCTTGTTTGACATTTATTCATTTAAACACAAGTTGCCTTTAAAATTTCATGGTTAATTTTGTTTTAAAGGTAAAGATTATAATCTCAGATGGCGCCATATTAGCGTTGCTATGAAGTTAAATATCATTACGGGTTGCTCCGTCCGTTAATTTGACGTCATTTTTGCAACACAAAATGTACGGCACCTTCATTGCCTATAATCGCCGTAAACAAGCTGTTTATTTACGTATGACATCATAATTTACACTGAATATCATGTTATAACTATCCTATGATGTCACAAAATTAAAACGAGAGATTGCATTAAAATTAACATCTTTTAGCAACTTTTTATTCGAGTAGCTATCATCATGAAATCAAAGTGCTCCGTGGTTCGTTGATCATGTTGCCATGGTGATCGGCGCTTTGCGAATATTACTTTTATCATGTTTTTTTAATTTAGAAATATGTAGCAGATAAATACTTAAGTAAAGTATTAAATCATCATATTGATATGTCTGCTTAAAATAATTTTTATAGCCTTGTCTACGAACTTTCCGGACAGCCCTCGTACATGCATTCTTTTTAAGGGATGTGCATCATGAAGAATCAATGGTATCCAGAAAACACAACATCATGGAAGATCTTAAATTGACAAGATCTCGGAGGATGTCCTTTGCCAGATGTTTGCCAGCACTAAAGGTGGAGTACTGGTAGTTTGTTTTCTGTATTTTGTTTTATTTACGAAAGTAAAGGGACTATATGCCCAAAACTGAACTGGTGTTGTTGAACTGTTTGTGTTATGTCAGTTGCTTTCAATAAATATGAATATCTCTCCATATACTGTTTGTACATATGTATTTTTTTTTTATTCAAGGTCTACTCATCAGTCAAATGCTACAGTTACAAATGACAGTGAATGGTCAGATTATTTACAATTGTGAATTAACAATCCTCAACAATACATCAAACAAAAATGCCTATTAAAACTGTAAAGTTTGAAATCTATGCAGGTTTTTTTTATATATATTTATAATCATGGTGTAGCAAATTAAATGATAATACTGTGATAATTTTGTAATGCTAGTTGGGGTCGACTTCAATAGAAACAATTTGATGTATCTTCATGTGATGAATAATCGATATGCAGTCCGAAATTATTTCATAAAAGTGATTACTAAAATTGGTCAGAAAAAGTCGTGCAATTAGCATTAATAATTAACAAAACTTAATTCTAGTAACTGT